TCTTCAAGAGCAGGTTAGACAGACATTTGGCTGGGATGGTTTAGTCAGGGCTGATCCTGCCTTGAGCAGAAGGCTGAAGTAGATGACCTCATGAGATCCCTTCCAGCCCTACTTTCCTATGATCTGCACAAGGACACAGAGGTCAGGATTAATTTTAGGTACATGAGATATGCTAAAACTCCTCTGAAAAAAATATAATGCAGTAATTACAGTGAGCTACCAAACTTATCTGTACTTCAATACATACTGATGGGAATCAACATCAAACTGACAAGATGTTCTTATTAAAACTTCACAGCACATCACCTTGGTTTTAATGCATGTTTAAAATTTAACTAATAACACATAGTGAGAGGAAGAGTGCTTTAGAAGACAACTTCTGAGCAAGGCTGGGACCTCCCCATTTCTACAACTCCCTGTGTGTGCAACACCTTAAGTGTGTGTTACTGGAGAGCACTGCTACCCAGCCCACAGGAGAGCATGTTCTGAACTCCAATGTTATACTCAATGACAGGCTGCTTTTTTGAGATGCATAATCTTCATATTCAAAGGGAAACATAGAAAACTTGGGATGTGTTTTATGGCAGCACAAACTGCAAGAAAAGGGTTAAAATAATGAGGTCTCTTTTTATGTTTTTAATGGTCACAAAAATAATTTTTCTTTCAATTACAGACATTTGAACTTCAATAACACCATGCTGGTCATAGTAACTGGCATCCTACTGCCCTGCTCTCTGTGTAGCTGAGAAGTCACTCAGTTATAATGTGTTACCTTTCATTATTTGTGTAATTCCAAGTATGCTCAGTGTGTCACCTTAACAATAACAGAATACCAGGAAAAGCTAGAAAAAGAAGCCCTTCATAAGTACATCAAATAAATTACAGGCAAATTTGTGATACAAAATGAGAAAGGCTGGGGAATTAGAGCTGAAACATTTTCCTTCACTTATAATACAGACTGCACAACAACACTATGTCCCCATTACTTTTTTAATGTTCATCTATGAATGTCCAATTATATGGGCAATTTGTTTTCTATGTTTTCATATTTTCCACATTATTGCAGTATTACAAAAATACCAAGAACTGCATTCCAGACAGCCCTTTCCATGTGTATTTATTACTCAAGTGACATTAACAGTTCTAGGTGAGCTCTTCTGCCCAATTATTATAATTCTAGGTGGGGCAGGAATGGGGGAGACTGGTACTAGCTAGGTAAAGGGACTGGGATTGAGAATGGGGGTATTTCAACTGGATGGGAAAGGGGACTAAGATCTGGGAAAGGAAATGGGGGCATGGGGAGCCTAAAATCAGATGATGAGCCAAAGGATGGCAGGGACTGGCTGGGCAAGGAGTCTGGGACTGAGAACCAGCGGGATAGTGGAAGACAGAGGAGATGGATCTCAGGAGCTGCAAGAATATATGAGAAGTGGGGTTATCTAGACCAGTGATTCTAAACCAGGGTGCTGTGGCACCCTGAGGTGCCTTGAGATCCTTGGGATGTCACACAATGTTTGGTGTGCAAACATGATTCACAAGATAAATCCAGAGATCTCAGATAGGGATACATAGTGTTAAAAACATACTGACCTGTTGTGATGCAAGTTCTATGCAAAGGAAAAATTACTCTATTATTTTTCCATACTTGAAAAAAGTGTGAAAACTAAGAGTTGACAATTTCTGACAGGTGCCCAAAGTCTAAAAAGGTTGACAACCACTGATCTAGACAAAGAGGCTAGAGCCAGAGAAGCTAGAGAAGAAGTACAGGGCACACTGAGACTGGATGAGGGTGGGGGGAAAGGAGGGATGGGGGGGTGGGGGGAGACCAGGGTGGGGGGAGAGGAGCTGGGATTAAGAACCAGTTGAAACGGAGACCATGGGATGCAACTGGAGGCCAGGATGGGGGACAGAGATAAATGAAAGAGGAGACACGAGATGAACTGGAATGGCCTGGGTAGGAAGGCTGGTTTGAGAAGTCTGAATAATAGAAATTGGGACTGGCTGAGAAGAAGAGAGAGGACTAGGGGACCAGGACGTATCAGAGAAGGAGGCGGCACAGGTCTGGGAAGAATGGATAGAAGAAGAGGGTGTGATGTAGATCTAGACATTCCAACCAGGCTGATAACGTGGTAGAGCCAATGGGATGAAAAGTTTGTGTTTTCAATTTCTACAACAGATAAAAAAGGTCCTTCACTCAGCTGTCTTTGCACTATACAACCCTGATTCATGATCAGAGTGGGCCCATTATATGGACTAAATGAGGCAGATGACCTTGCAGAAAAAAATATTTGTTCATGTAATTAAAAATAGGGTTGTTGTGCATATACATCACCAAATAAGGATTGCACAAGAGAAAATAGTTCTTGCATTTCCCAATTTTTCAGTAATTGACTTGGCAATTTCAACAATGTTCTTTTAGTACAGGTGTTTTGTGTGTGATAGAGATTTAAGTTATACATGTCCAAAGGGACAGAACAATAATGATTACCCAACACACTGTCTTATAATATTCTTTAGCTATCAGGAAGAAAGATACTGTTATAGCTGTGTTATAAATTCCCACGTACAAATCCCGTAAATGGTATGCTAACCGTAGCTCAAGATCCTGCACTGTTACCTTCAAGAGCAGACAAAATACTGTGCTTGTGCAGTGCCTCATCCCTTTGGGTGGGACACCCCACACTCTACCCGAGCAAATTATGATGCAAAATTGAGGCCACCAGTGCTGTGACTTTCAACACCGAATACCAAGTGAGGCTTGCTGATAAGTGTAATTCTACCATATTTCATTTAAAATAGGGACTCTGGCATGCTCAGAGAAAACCAGGCTTTTCTGGTACTGGGGTTGGGAATTTTACAAAAACTTATCATCAATCAGCCATTTTTTTGTTTTGTTTTTTGGTTTTTTCACCTAAGAACACACTGCAGGTTGGAGAGATTATTTAGAAATTTTCTCTGCAATATCTGAAACCCACATCCAGCATGCTAAGGAACGAAACTCAGTGTCCAGACTGTGCACAATACAAAAGTAACCAACATAAATAGAAATCTACATTTCTTTCTTCTTTGGAAAAATTATATAATCACGTTCTTCCCTAAGATTCGACACAAACTATCAACATAAAAATCATTAGAAATGTTGAAAATCAGATTATTTCTTTAAACTCTTGCCCTGTTAACACCTAAAGTATTTATACTACAGGTAAAGATTTTAAGATAATTTATCGTGACAGCGTGCCGTTAACTTTTGCACTTCTAAATGAGCAACAGTATTAAACACTTTAGAGTTTTGCTGTTGACTAAGTTTGTTTTTGAAAGGGGAGTGGAGCTGTTAAAATACAGAGAAGAAGAAAGTCTCCATGTTTGCTTAACCTGAATTATAACCCCATTTATTAACCTCACATTCTCAGGTGAACAACAAACAATCCATTATACTTGCTTAAAAAAGCATAGCCTAAGTTCCCTGTGCTAGATGTAGGTATAACTCAGATACCAAGAACTGTGCGCCAGCTGTAGCTTTTCTTTTTCACCATAACCTTGGGTGTCAGAGTGTGCTTTTTAGTGGTAGAATAGAGGTGCCATCTACACACACAGACTGGACTGTAATTGCTAAAAAGTTCTTTATTTAAAATGAGCTGGCTCTGAACCACAAGTTATCTGACATGGAAAGTTGATGTGAAAAGATCTGTTCAGCATGCCGGCTCTTCTTCTGCCCATGGCTCCATTATTTCTCCTAGCCTGGTTATGCCCAGTCCAAGCACACCCTTGATTTCTGAGGCAGCAGTTTGTGCGCTTGCCTTCACCCATCAGGACTGTGCTGCACCCTCCGCATCTAGTCCCTCGTGTGCTACAAACCCCTACGTGCATGTTTAGCAGACAAGAGAAGCGCAAAGGGACTGAGCAGCGATGCTTTCATGCCAGCTCCTCTGGAAGATTTTGTCTGCCGTCGGCTTTGATGCTGCTTATCCGAGCAGCACCCACCTGCCCTGTGCCAAGTCCAACCTATTTCTGGTTCTGAAACCTGCTCTGAGCTCCCGTGCAACACCTATCGAGATATGGTGTTGTTACACCTCGCTGTAGCAGACCATGCATTCGGCGGGTGTCCGACAGAAGCGCTTGTCAGGCGTCACCCACGTGCGTGGACACAGACACCGCAGGGCATTCACGGAGAAGCTACGAATACCCAGTGGCAGAGACGTGTCGAGACAACTCTTAGCAATGCCGCCACACAGCAGTGCCCCGAGCGCTGTGGGATGATGCCAGAAGCCGTGGCAGAGACATGTCGAGACAACTCTTAGCAGTGCCACCATATGGCAGTGCCCTGATTGCTGAGGGATGATGCAGCCCTCAACCTCTGTCTCCACCCCTCGGACACCTCCTCAGCATATCCCCAGGTCACCCCAGCCCCAGGGGCCCTCCCTGCTCCCTGGGCCACGTGCAGAGCAGGGGGACCCCGGCAGTGGGCACCGCCCAAGGGGCACGGGGCTGCTCCCCACAGCCCTGCTGCTCGGCGCTCTGACTCCAAGGTGGGCATCGCCCCAGGCCCTTCTGAGACCCCAAGACTATGGGCCCCCTCACAGCCCCC